CTGGGGTGCCTGGCCAGTCTGGGTGAGGGGCTGAGGGCCGTTTTCAGGCTGGCCAGTGACTGAAGCAACCAGCCTCTCCTTTTTTTCTTTTTTTTTATTCTGGGATTTATTTACCTTCTATAATTGAAACATTGTTGCCGTCACTGGCGCTCCCAGCTCTGAGGCCACGGCCCGGCTGAAAGCAGGTATCTGGGGTTTGTTTAGCTTCTATAATTGAAACATTGTTGCTTTTGGGCTCAGAGCCGGGCCGCGGCAGGCGGGGAACCTTGGCTTCCTCCATCACTGGAGCCAGCAAGCCTCATGTTCGCTTCAGCTGCGTGGCTGCCGGCCGCCATCTTTGTTGGCAGTTAATTTGCATATCACCCTGATTAGCCAGTGGGAAGCATAGCGGAGGTACGGTTAATTACCCTTTTTGTCTTTTATTAGATAGGATAATCATACCAACATATCCTTATAAACTGGGATAGTGTGCTGTGGAAGTATAGAATAGGATCTTCTGTTATATATCTAATCTGAGAAGGCTTCCTGAGGTTAGCAACATTTGAATTGAGGTCTAAGGGATTGAGTAGGAATTATCTATGCAGAAAAGAAGGAAGAGGATTCCAGGGAGTAGAAATAGGATGTATAGCAAAGTACAGTGGTTAAAAGCAGTGACATTGCAGCCAGACTGCCCAGGTTCAAATCCTGGCCATGTACCTTGAGCAAGTTCTTTGTTTTTCAGTTTCCCTATCTATAAAAAGGAAATGATTATTGTACCTGCTGCATAGAATTTTTGTGGGGGTTTAGCTAGTACATGTAAAACACGTAGAACAGTACCAGGTATATTGCAAGTCTACAAAGGTCTTAAATGGGGAAGAAGTATAGTGCATTTGAAGAAATCAAAGAATGCCAATGTGGCTAGAGTGGAGATAGCAAGGAAAGAGTATTCCAGTATTAAACTAGAGAAAAAGCAGAGTCCTGATCAAAGCCTCATGGACTATGTGAAAAATTATTGGTAATTTACATTTTTAAAGGATGGTCTGGCCACTGTGTGGAAATGGATTGTAATGGAGGAAGAGTAGATTCCTGGAGACCACTTGAGAAGTTACTAACTATAGTGATCCAAGTGAGGATAATGGTGGCTACATTTAGGGTGGTAGTGGTGATAAAAAGAAGTGACCAGTGGATTAGTTAAAGGGATGTGGGTACAGCACCCATATTTCTGGTGTGTGAAGCTGCGTATTCCCTGACCAGGAGCTCACTGGTTTGGGGATAGCAGACAACTAAGTGAAATGTTAAGTAGATAGTTGAATATATGAGTCTAAATTCAGAAAGATCTGTGTTTTGGATACATTTTGGCAGTCACTAGTTTGTAGATGGTAATTGAAGCCATAGGCAGAGTTGGGACTTTAAAAAGAGAGTATAAAGTGAGTAGAATGATACTGGGCTTTGAGGAACGTTACCATTTAAAGGACAGTTGGAGCAAAGATGAACCAGGAAAGAGACTTAGAAGATCAGCTAGAAGAATAGAAGGAAAAGCAAGAAAGTATGCTGTCTACCAAATAGTCAAGTAAACTGAAGACTGAAAAATTACCATGGGATGTAGTGATATGCAGATCATTGGTGACCTTAATAAGAGTTATTTCAGTGGAATACTGTGAGCAGAAATCAATATTGAGGTTGAGGAGCAAGTGAGAGAGGAGAGCAAAAGGAAATGAAGGCAATGGGTGTAAACTATTCTTTCAAAATTTGTGAAGGAGAGAAATAGGGCAAAAGGCAGTGGGATTGGGAAGCATGCTATTGTTTTAAGATAGGTGAGATTTGAACATGTTTTCATCTTAATAAGAAGTATCCTGTGGAAAGGGAGAAGTCAAAGATGGAGAAGAGAAAAGGGATAACGAATAGAAGAAGATTCATCAGGAGGCAAGAAGAGTTGGGATCCAAATCATTAGTGAGGAGACTGGTTGTAGGAGACAGAACAGCTCCTCTTCTATCATAGAAGGGAATGGCAGAGGATGGTTACACATCTCTATGAAGCCTCCTTTTGATTGTTTTAGGATTCCATTCACTTGCCATTTCCCAGAACCCTAAAGTACCCTATATAATAAAAGAGAAACATGTAAATTGACTGTACCTCCGCGATGCCCACCAGCCAATCAGGAGTGAGTATGCAAATTAACCTGACAAAGATGGCAGGCTAATTTGCATACACAGGCGCCGGGCAGAGAGTAGAGTGGGAGAACCAGCGGCTTGGGGGGACGTGGCTCCCTCAGTCGCTCCCCCCAAGCCCCCGGGCGGAGAGCAGAGCGGGAGAGCCGGAGGCTTGGGGGGACATGGCTCCGACGGTCACTCCCAGCAGCATGGGGAGCACCAGGAATGCTGGGAATCGTCCCCGAGGGAGCCACTCCCCCCAAGCCGCCAGGCAGAGAGCAGAGCGGGAGAGCCGGCGGAGAGTGGAGCCACTTGGGGAACTTGGCTCCCCAAGCTGCCACACGGAGAGCAGAGAGGGAGAGGTGGCAGCTTGGAGGACTTGGCAGAGTGGGAGGCCATGGGACGGAGACAGAGCAGGAAGAGAAAACCAAGAGCGCGGGGAGCACCAGGAATGCTGGGAATCATAGTTCTGGTGGCAATCGGATCTCCTAGACACTAGAGCAAAGTGAGCCTAGAGCAAGTTACTATTGCAGTGGGGGATGGAGGGAAAGCAAAGGTGAGAGACATAAGTAAAATCAGAGTGTCTAAGAAAAATTAAAGGGTAGATATCCTAAAACTTCCAGGAAATCTCCACCAATGAAGCAAAGAAAAAAAATGCCTCTATTATTCTGTGAGTAACAAACCAAACTGGGTTGGGGTCTCAGACAATTCACTCATATGATTGCAAAGACAGACAGAAACTCCCGGATTGGAGAGGGCTCCCCTGAGGGCTCTCAGATTGGAGAGGGTCTAGGTCGGGCTGAGGGACCCACCTCCCGTGCACGAATCTTTGTGCCCCGGGCCCCCAGTTTAACTATACTTGATGATTTAGCATCTTCTGTCTTTTATTATTTCCTACTACTATTTCAGGCCTTAAGCTTGTCTTCATTAACTAGATTGTAAAATTGAGAATAAACCACAAGAGTTTATTCTCATATTCCCCTTCACATTGCTTAGCACAGGGCTGAGTTTGATT